TCGATGTTCCTCGACGCTCCGGATCACTCGCGACACTCGCGGAACCAACGAAATGACGCCATTGACGCGCACGTTCGGAAGAATAGAAGAATGCGAGCTCTCGGGGAGGGGGGGGGGGGCGTCGCGCCGGCTCGACGGAAGCCACACGCCGATCACGAACACGTCTCGTGGAGTACAGCGACGGAAAACGCGCGACCGCGCGGGGTGAATCGACGCGATCGTTCGAGCTGTCGCTAGATACTGTCTTGACACCGGCTCGTTGCGCGAAATCCACCGGGGAGACGGATGAACGGCCGGCGAAGACGCCGTGCGAAACCGCGATTCGTCTTCGTACCGGCGTGAACTGAGCGGCGCGTCGCGAAACTCGATCACGTGATACTCGCGGCCAACCTCGCGCGCCTGAATAGCGCGCGTTCAGTCGAATTCTTTGGCGACGTGATTAATGAGCCTTTTGTTTATTAGGACGCTGGAACGTGGCATTGCGTGCGCTATTGCCATGTTAGAAGTTAGTCGAGGAACTGAGCGATTATATACGTACGCCAACTAACGTTTGAATATCGTAGCTTGTGGAAAACTGAGCGGCGTAGCGCGCGTACGAAATGTGACGAAATGAATAGTCGAATTGTTAAGACGCGTGGATTCCCGGCGAGAAATGACGCGTCGATCGACGTCGAATCGACATCGGCGCCGTCAAATTGACGTAGATTTGACATCAATTTGAAGGTGTCGATGCGACGTCGATCGACCAGTCATTTCTCGCCGGGTTATAATGATTGGAATAAAATTGGCGCGTCGTTAGAATAAATGCAACTGACAGTCCGAGAAACGTGCTGCGTTAAAATCGACTGGCAATTCCAAGCGCGACGCGTAAACGACGTGTAATCGCGACAAAGAATCGCGGTTTACGCTGATATTTTAGATAAATTGGTCTCGTGAAACGTCCACGTTGACAAAAAGCTCAATATGCACGTCGTTTCTCGTTACAAGTTGTAGAAACTTAATCACCGATCGACGAACGTCACTTGCTACTAATGAGCGTGTACAAATTGATAGCGATTTATCGCCACACACTTCGCGATCACGTCCCGGAAACTAATAACGCGAAAGTAACACGACGCACGGAGCGACTTTCGACGCCGCCCGCCGGCTCGGGGTTCGGCGAGCGAATGATAGCGCGACCTTCACGTGAACACTGGTATGCGGAGCGTCACAAAATACCGGCGAACAAAAAAAAACGTACGTTGAGAATTCGTTGTCTCACGCCTAAGAAATATGAAATTTACCTAAATCGAAGATCCTATAACTAATATTTCAAGTTACTTTGTACGACACGACTGTTGCTACACGTTTTCCTATTATTCTGCGTATTGGTATTGAGGGTAATTATGCATAAAAGCGACTTCCTCTCCGATTTGTTTTATTTTTAAATATGTTGTTGGGGATGTCTTCTCGAGTCATTTCATATATATATATATATATATATATATATATATATATATATATATAAGGGGCGGACTCAAATAGTTTCGGAGATACAGGCTGGAAAAGGTTACAAATAATAATATAGGTTTGTAATATTTCACGTATACCGAGATCCACCCCCACCCATCCTTGCATGCGGAGAGGTGCGGTAGTCCCTGTTTGTTTGCGGAGATACAGGCTGAAAAAGGATACAAATAATAATATATATTAGGTTTGTAACATTCCACGCATACCGAGAGCCACCCCCACCCATCCCTGCATGCGGAGAGGTGCGGTAGTCCCTGTTTGTTTACGTTTGAAAGTCTTCACATATTTCCGCCAAAGAATATTTATCGTTCACTTAGAGATCGTCACAGCGTATAGAAGTGTTTCGGAACGTGAACAATAATGAAACTAAACGATTGAGTCCGGCCCTTATATACATATATATATGAAATGACTCGGGAAGACATCCCCAACATATTTAAAAATAAAACAATTCGGAGAGGAAGTCGCTTTTATGCATAATTACCGTATTGAGGTTTAAGATAATGATTGACTTCGTTCAATCGAGAAAGTGTTTTGAAACGAAAAGCATTGTTAGTTGAATTGAAATTGAAGATGAACTGAGAGATATTGCCTTAATTTAGTTGATGTAATGTATACATTAATTGCAAAATTATTAAGTAAATTATCTAGCTCCTTACTTTAATAATAATATAAACAAGAATTTCCGCGCTCGATAAACCTCAATAATCGATGAGATTTGAAACACTTGCGTATCCCCTTTTTTAAAAGGGTAACAAACGAGTATATTATTATCGCCACTTGTAAAGCGCTAACTTGAGATTGGTATTTTTAATTAATTTTTTAATTGATCTTTAAATTTGTCCTTCAATCAAGAAGAGAGATTGTAAAACGAAAATTTAAATTACCTGCTTTTATGGCTGTTGCGCGAGGGAAGTTAAATTTTGTTGAACGCGGTTGCTTTACGTTTGCCCGGCAATTCCATTTGCAAGTTCAACACAGATTTTCGATTTATGAATTTTCAGTTAATAATATTGCGCTCGTTCCATGGTTGTTTACAGAAGGATCGTCGAGTATCAGTACTCCTGAAAGCGGAGCGGAGAAACGACAATCTCCCATATATTTTTCTAGTTTAACAGCAGTATTTTTTTTAAAAAAAAACTTTGTTTTTCGCTCTCCGACAAAAAAATACGCCAAAAAATCTGTTATCCGGAGCAACATTATAGTATAAAAAATATTGCGACGGCAAACAATAATTCAATGCTTCAACCGACCTGGCCTTTTCGTATAATCGTGGTGAATTAAATCGACCGGCGCATTATACAGATACGAATTCGCGTATTGTGTTGTACAAATGGCTCTTGTGATGGCCGCCTACCAAGTGGAAATGCCCTCGCGATGTTTTCGCATTTTCCCCGCTTATCCGCTACTTCGCTATCGATTTTCATTTCGCTATTGCCGATATAAAAATCATGAGAATTCAGTTGTATAACGCAAAAGTATCGCGATTTGCGTACACTCTCAAACGTACCGAAATCGTATTAAATTCTGTGAACACGAAATTAATTTCATCGTTTCGGTAAATCAGGCAGATTTCTCTGCCAAATTAATTGCACGCGATTTATCGCTAGAGCGCCAAAAATATATAAGTTAACGTTATTATAAATCATCAGTATGTGTAAAGGCATATCATTGTAAAGTATATTATCAATATACCTTCGAATATAGATTTATAAACTTTACAATGTAACATGTATCAACAGATATTTCAAATCGTGCCTCTTAAATTTGTAGTAAATACACTGAGAAAAATTTTCATCTGATAAACCAATTAAACAGCGTTTCCCGATGAGCAACTTTTCCGATTAAATTATGAATACATCCGACGAAATTTATCCGATGAAATGCAGTGACCGATGAAACTTGATTGAAAAACCGATCATATTTTTCATCGAATATACAATCTAGTCGGATATATCCGTTTGTTATTATTGTAGTAATTGGATTATCCGATTATATTTAATTGGACATTTTTCTCAGTGTACACAGTTGAAAAAGTGTTCAATTTAACAGATATCCCATGTCCCAAACGGTCCACACAAATTTTTCTGTTAATTTAACAAAATATGGATATGTTAAATGATCACCCTAATACTCTGTTAATATTTTAACACAAAATAAATGCATATTTCAAAACGATTTGAAACAAATTTTGTGTAAAATTGACATATTTTTAATGACAAAATGAATTTAAAATTTTTACATTTTACAGATGTAATAAGTCAAACGATGGTTCGAAATCACCCTCACTTATGTTATATAGAATAAAATCAACATTTTATTCTGTAAATTTTAACAGATAAATTTTGTTATTAATAATATAGATGATATGTATTGCGTCCGATTAAAAAATAAGTACACATTGTGTTGTTTTAACATTTCTTTTCAGTTATTTTAATAATTTTACGTTTGAGGTCAATTAACGCAAGAGCAATATGTCAAATTAACACGTAATGCGTTAAACATTTAACACAAAAATTTTAACAAGGAAACACAAATTTTCCAACTGTGTAGTAAATATCTTTCAAGTAAAGCGATAGATTACTCAACTCGATCGTTTCCTACGTATAAATATCTAATAATTGCACATGCACTGATGATAAAAATGCATTAAATTTCAGCCCTGCGATATATGGTCGATGGGGATAACGATGTACGCGCTTGTGATCGGAGATCTTCCTTGGCGCGCTTCCGATAGTACAACCATTCAAGAGAGCGTTCGTTCGAAGCCACTCGTGTTCCCCGACAATCGCTTGTCCTCGGAATTGCGATATCTAATTGAGGGGATGCTGGATAAGTCGCCGGAAACCAGGCTCACGCTCCCGAAGCTGAAGCAGCACCCGTGGTTGACGAATAACGCGACTGAACCACTGCCGGCCGAGGTCGACAACTGCCGCTTACGGGTCACCGTCACCGAGGAGGAGGTCATAAGACTCGGCACTCTGCTCCTCGTCAAGAATATGCTGAAACAGCACAGCTTTCAGGTGGGCGGAGTATATGTAATTAACCCTAAGGCTCGGTCTCACCAACGTTCTTTAACTTTAAGCTCAGCTCAATTTTCTTTGTCTCTTTCCAACTGTTACTTTCGAAAGAGGCAAATTAAACTAAGATTAAAATTAAGAGACGTTTGGTGAAACCGGGCCTAAATACGACAATGCTGTGAAAACGATCTTGAAACTGCACGACAAGAGAAACCGTCAACAGAGACGTTGCGTAGAATTTAGAAATACAATGTTAAATCCAATGCTTTTTGTGTCATTGTCGCGTGATTTTATTAAATTTAGTTTTTACTAAATTAATAAAAAGTTGTGAACCAAAGTACCGAATACGTTTAGTCTTCGTAAAAAAATGCCAAGTATTTTTTTCCCCCTCGATGGATGTGAATGCTCTACAATGTTATACAATACTACACAATACTAATACACTGAGAAAAATGTCCGATTAAATATAATCGGATAATCCAATTACATGATAACAAACGGATATATCCGATTAAATTGTATATCCGATGAAAAATTTGATCGGTTTTTCAATCAAATTTCATCGGTAATTGCATTTCATCGGATAAATTTCATCGGATATATCCATAATTTAATCGGAAAACGTAAGCGGAAAAATTAACCATCGGACATACTATTTAATTGGTTTATCCGATGAAAATTTTTCTCAGTGTATTTTACTGACATCTCACGATAGCAAGTCGTTGTTAACATAATCGCGATCCTAGTGACTCGAGAATCAAACTTCAAATTTTAATCTTATCAAAAAGGTTCGAGTATTTGCTAAATAGACGTGGGTTTCCGCTAAATAACATTTAAATCTCAGTTAAATGGAATTTATTTAAATTTCTTCGATATGTTGCTAATAATATGATCCTTCCATAATCCAACTGTAGAACAGTAACGGGAAGAAATATATGGTAATGTTAATTAAACAGTTTACAATTGTCTTGTAAATCTCGATTCACTTGAAATTAAATGAAAAATTGTAATGTTACTAAATATTCATTTCTGACTTAATTAATTTCAAAAAGTTCTTCATTTTGCTTCCTCATAGAGGAAGCTTTAAGAGAGAAATCTAACTTTACTACGATGTTTCTTGAAAGTATTCAAATTATTCTTATTTCCTTGTGGCGATCGTGGCACAGAGGATTGTGCGCTGGTCTGGTAATCCGAAGACCTGGGTTCAAAACCAAACAAAACATTGTTGGTTTTTCGTTCGATCGCCACATAGAGAAGTGGATGTAGAGAGAGATGTTATAAGAGGTTTGGGCACGTTCAAAAGTAAAGTGTGCAAATT